CAGACTTCAGACTCGCAAGCTCTACTCCTCTCCTCTCGTCTTGACCTTCCCTAACGCTCGCTGACTCTGGTCGCTATGGTAAAATAAGATACAGATGCACAAAATTTTACTTTTGTGAACATTTTAACTTACAATAACGACTAACGGGAGCCCTGAGCTTGTTTCTCTGCAACGAGACGGTCCATCTGGGACTGATGGGAGATGATAACACCCAAAGTGTTTCTTATATGCACAGGGTGTTTGGTGTCTACATGGCCAAGCAGTTTGAAGCTTCATTCCCTCATTATCAAGCCGGTCGCTGCAGATCACGCAGAGCGTCTTGTAATGTGGGACTCGCCTACTGGTCCGAGATAAATCCATCCTCCTGTCTCTTCTCTGGGCCTTTTCCCCTTTGAAAAGAAACTTTCCAAAGACACCTGATCCTCTTACTCATTTTGCTGCTTGTGGGCTCAGTGTTGGCGCGCAAGTAACTGAGAGAATCCGGTTTAAGGATTTTCAAAATAAAAGATCCTCCAGACTCAAATAATACATGAAACGAAAATATTTAATTATTTATTGCGCTGCCCGGTACTAATTGGTCCATGGACTGGTACCGGTCCACGGCCCGGGGGTTGGGGACCACTGCTATAGAGGACTTTTTAAAAAGAAACTAGACGCTGTTCCTGTTGTCTAGAGACAACCTGATGACGGACATCTATGGTGCCAATCTTTATAACCGCTACCTGGCCAAGCACCACACTGACACGATGAGCGACACCAAGCTGGTGGCCCAAGGAACCGGTACCCCGGTACCGGTGGTGGAGGAATTTGCCTTTGCGGCTCAGTGCCGCTCCATCCTGGTGGGTAGAGACCACTTTTTGGAAAATTTTGTTGGGATCCTTTAAGGTTTACAGCTGGAGTGGATGTGTACATAACATGGATTTTAATGAAGTAGTACAAGTACATTTAAATGTATTGCCTTACCATAACGTACCTTACTCTGCCAAACCTTACAAGATCTTTCCACCTCTTAGTGTACCTAGGTTTTTACAGGTCCATTACCTCAACAGACATTACTTCTCTATAAATTACCTTTGTTGACCTTTCTTTACTTTAACTCTTCTTATTTTGACTCGTTGTTGCTATGATCCTCTACCTGTCTCCAGGTGTGCACAGGTGTGTATAACCCTCAATCTCCACTGCCTGGTGACCAGAACGTTTCAGAGACGATGCTTCATGGTCAGAACGACCTGAAAGTGGAGCCAGACCTGGTAGAACCGAGTCACATGGTGGAGGACGTGGAGGCCGCTGTGGACCTGATGCTGCAGCAGGAGAGTCCCAACACTTGACGGACCTGTCCTCCGACTGACCGTCTTAAAATCTAACATGTGGTTCAGACTGCACACTTGGATCACACCTAGCCTGTTATCTCTTACCTGTGGTGGCTATCTCTGTTTTACATGAGTAGAGCTCTGCAGGTGGATCTCAAACCTCAATCCGTCTGAAGTTGGACAAGTGATCTTTACATTTTTTATAGCAGAACAGGTGAAGCTAAGCTAGCAGTTCCTTTGAGCTAGACCTGTGTGAATTCATTTAGTTACTGTGAACATCAGAAAACTAAAATAAACTGTTAAACTTTTTCTCAACGTCATTGTTTTTATATCGAGTCCAAGCATGTGAGACATTACCTGTGTAGGTATGTCTCTACAGGACCAAAGGTCATAACAAATGTTTAGATCATTCTAGATATTATTTTTGAAAAAAGTAACAGTTTACTGCAATGATGTCATGAACAATTCAAAATGAACTGAATTTGCATTACAATAAAATCTTTGTGAATTTAAAATGTGAAGGTATAGATTTTGTTTTTCAGATCATTTAATAGATCTTGAAGCATAAACTTTGGTTTCAAAGTGCTTCAGATGGTTGATGAGCCATCTGAACCTTCAGCAGATTCTTTAGCAGGTTTACCCGAGTGGTGATTGGACCAGGTGGCTTGATTGATCTGCTATTCTTTGGTAATGAGATCAAAATGAAGTGTGAACATTGATAGGATAGGACTGGTTAAGGAGGTGAATTCAAATTAAAAATTACTTAATTGATCCCAAAGGAAAAATAAATGGGCAGATTTAGTACCTGTTGGTTCCAACAACCTGCCTCCTGTCAGCTATCCTTCATTCATTGTCTGATAAAACTTATTCTAGGTCATCTACATCCTAGCCCTGGTCAAGTCTAGGTCAGATTATTCTGGGTTTTCAGGCCTTCTAACTGAAAATGTGAAGATAAAACCGTTAAGACAGGAGCACAATTCTACCACTGTGGCAAATTTAATGAGATATTTGACTGGAACCGATTTGACTGGTTCACTCAAAACCGTTAAAGCAGTCATTCTTTGTTTTATAGATTGAACATTCATAGGAAAGTAAAGTGTCTGTTGAACATATTTAGGTGTATTCAGCTCACGAATTGCTGATTTGAGGTCATTTTAATAAACTGTTTCTTTCATAAGGTGTGGAATAAACACATTAAGCCTCGGACTGTGAGTTTCAAAAGGTCTGTGTTAATTCTCTCAGTTTGGTGACTGAAATCCAGTTCAATTCGATTCTGGGCTTTACTTCGCTGTGGTTTAAACACTTTGACCTCCTCAACATGGCGCCGGGAAGCAGACACGTCGACACCGGAAGCGTGTCAGCCGCCGCGCCTGCGCAGTGGCTGTGCCCGGGTCCCTGTAAAGATGTCTGAGCAGGCGGGGAGGGAGCGGAGCGGACGACTGAGAAGCAGCGCGGAGAAGCCCCAACTGTCTGCTGTTTCACCACAAAAGGTAAGAGCAGCAGACCCCGTAGGAGTTCTAGAAACACACCGACAGCCGGCTTAAGGCTTCGTATTGCGGATGGAGGCGGTTCCGGGGCTGTGGAGCCTTAGGGTCGAGATTTCGGAGCAGAAATGTTGGTAAAGGCGCGCAGAGCTGTGGCAGGGGCGTGTCCGCCATCTTTGAGAGGAGTTGGAGCTTAGCGGTGGCGGCGGATCGGAGTTCAGAGTCCGACAAAATCATCTATTGGCCACTGTCAGAGCAGCTATCGGGTTAGGCCGCCCAGTCCGCGGGGATTTGGCACACTTTCAGGCGGTCTGGCTGCTCCTCGGAGTAGTAGTAATCGCCGCGGTCTCCGATAGCGGAGCGCGGGCTTCGAGCAGCAGCCGCAGCCTTTTGTTGTCCTCCTCCCCCTCCTCCCTGTTTGCGCTGGCTCTCAGCGCGCATGCGTGTAACCATGGCGCTAGTTCTTGCGTCTGAGAAGAAAAACAACCGAAAAGCTTCAAACAGTAACATAAAATCAGATGGATCAGAACCGATCTGCTGCTAGTTAAACAGAACCGATCAGGCGCTGATGGATCAGAAGCGACCCGGCGCTGATGGACAGGTGCCGATCAGCTCCTGATCAACCAGGTTTCATCTCTGAAGGAACGTTCTTCCATTCAGTTCTCCAGCCTTACACAGACTGGTTGGTCCAGACTCAGGAGATCCGGATTAATCCATCAGAACCCACACCTGTCATTTTAAGAGCATTCTTGTGGCAATAGTTAGGTTGTGAGTTTGATTCCCCCTTGACCCCTGAGGAAAAGACGTGTTGATGTTCAGGTGAAGCTGAGCACCAGGAGGAAATATTCACTCTATTTAACCTGATAATGAAACAGCATTTTATTTTTTTAGTCGGAGAATCACTGAAGCTTTTCCTGGTTGGTGATGTATGGTTTTCACAGTTTTAAATCATAAAATAAATACATTTAAAGATCATCCCCATTCATGCCTTGAACCTTTATCAGATGTTCTTTTTATTTAATTCAGCTAAAAGTCCAAAGACGCCCAGAATGTTCATTAATTCACCTGCAGATGAAAAATCATTGGCGTTTTTAGTTTTGAGGCCGTCATCTCCTCTTGGGTTAAAATATTAGGCTTCAATTAATTTTTAGCTGAAAAAAGTGTGGACCATTTTACTTCCTCTGTCTTTTATTCTGAAAGCCTGTCTCTTCCTGTCAGGTCCACATGATTGTGATGAACAGCTGAAATGTCCAATAACAGCCAGGGATCTGTGAAGGGGGAGGCGGCCACCATGGTGCCACCCTCTGGCCCCGCCTCCTCTCACGGACCGCCCCTTTCTCCATCCACCACCTCCAAATCACCTGAGCTTCCAGGTACCCTACCTGTCCTCTGACTTGTCCCTGTACCACCTGTCTCCGGCTCTAATGTCTCATCTGTCCTGCCAGATGAGTTGGTCCAGGCTGGATGGTCCAAGTGTTGGTCCAGGAGGGAGAACCGGCCCTACTACTTCAACAGATTCACCAATCAGAGCCTGTGGGAGGTGCCTGTGCTGGGTCAGCATGATGTCATCGTGAGTTTGCGCCACCAATCGATTTAGCAGTCAATCAGCCAATCAGCTGCAGCGCTGATGACTCATTGATCTGTTTCAGTCTGACCCACTGGGTCTGAATGCAGCTCCCGCAGAGGGGGGAGATGGTAACCTTGGAAACGGCCAGAGGAAGAGGAGGAGCTCTGAGGAGCAGGGGGTGGGGCCTAACAGTTTCAAACGGACAAAGGTAAAAAACAAGGGCTGCAGCTAACTATTATTTAAATAATCCATTATTTATCCATTAATCGGATAAATTTGGATCATTTCCCCATCACTGGTTACAAACATGATGCATTTCTGTGTTGATGAATAAGTTTTTACATTGCACATACATTTGTTGACAAAATATTTAATAATTAGTGGTTTAAAACTAGACAATCTAAAACAATTCTGATTAAATTATAACTAAAACTAAATGTCTTTTTAGTTAAAAGATTAAAACTAAGTAAAAATTTGCTGTAAAAATTTATATTGGCTGCAATTAACAGTTATTTTAGTAATTGATTATGCTGACGATTAATCGGATTACAAAATTGGCACGTTCTGCAGAGTTTTCAGTGTACTGCTTAAGCTTATTTTATACAGTGTTGCTGTATATTTTATACAGCAGCATTCCTTTAATGAACGCTTGATAATTTGTAGCAAATGATGCATCTGCATATAAATAATATAATATCAGGACAGTTTAGGGCTGATCTGATGATTATTTTTAGGATGAACCTGTTAATAATGAGATGGTCTAAGATGCTCAATAGGAGATTATTATGGGCTTTTTTTTTTACCAGACGCTTAACCAGGTGAAGCTGAAAGAGGAGTTCTGGTAGAACAGATTTACAAAGATTTTTTTTCTTGTATTAAATCCTAAACATTTATATTTTTGAACAGTTTGGTCTTCAGTCCTGCTCTCAGGGTGTTGGTCTTAAAGCAAACAGCCTTTTTTGAGTCTGTATGCCCCAGTTGATGATTAATTGATTACTAAATTAGTTGACGATTACTTCAGTACTGGATTTGATTAAATGTTTGAGCCCTAAGAGAAAAGCAGCCATGTTGGCAGTGTTGATTTTGGTAACGATGAGGATAACGACGTTATTTCGTTGATTCCTCTTTTTTATGACAATAATGAGATGATGACTAAAGTAACATTTGATGACTAAGACATGGCAAGACGTCTGTGAGTTTTCATGGAGATGAAACATTTCAGTGACGCTGATGTTTGGCCACGCCCACCATCTGACGTTACTCAATCATGATTGATGCAGCTCATTACTTGAAGAGACTTGGTGGATGCAAACCCAGAAAGGATGTATGGACTTATTCCTGAGGCTATGAACAACTCTTTTTGAAAGAAGAGCTGAATCGTTGAGGGACGCAGCGCCACATGTGGATTTAAACTCTGGACAAAACGCTAGGAAACCTTCAAGGAAACTTGAAGGCTCACCGCACTGATACTTTTTCAAAAGTAAGTTATGCATACAATGTTACCTGATAATGGATTGAGATGAATTTCTTGATAAACTGTGAGATTCTGGCGCACACGGCGCTAACTGCAGGCTGCGCTATAACGTCAGTTCATTCGCTAATGTGCGTTAGTTTTGGGTAGAACATGGGAGGACCCCTCTTGTAAAATACGGAATCGTTCTTTATTTGGCAGTGAGTTGTTGCTGAAATATTAAAATGGTGGTGGTGGACCGCTATTACCGATGTTGCCTTCAGTTGCTGATGTCACGGTTGCCTAAAAACGGAAAACAAACATTGCCCTGCTCTCGGCCTTCATAAACATCCACCCGGTTTCTCATCGCGTCCTCAGAAGCGAAAACTGTTTAAATAAAATACAGATGTGAGCAGGAAGAGGCGGATCCCAACAAACGAAGCTGAAGTTGGTTTCCGATTCTGGGAACAAATAAGAGGCGATTCCACTTCATTTTTCACTACCCTCAGCATATTTGATCTACTCCAGTTAAAAAACTACAACAGCTACACACTTCAAACCTGGAATGGATTATTCTAAACTAATAACAGAATATTTAAAACCATATTTGTGAAACCTTTATCTTTATCTTCAATAAAGGTTGATTTCACCACTTTTTACAGGGTTCATACCGGTCATGGGAAACCTGGAAAGTCATGGAATTTTATTTTTTGTATTTTCAAGACCTGAAAAGTTATGGAATTTCATTTCAGGTCATGGAAAGTCATGGAATTTGCAAATAGGGGCAAAAAATGCTATTTTTTTCTATGGTATTTTCTGTGGGTTTCCTCTCGGACTCGACCCATTTGGTCTCGGTGTTGGACATTGAGTGCTGGGATTTTATTTCAAGACCACAACTGTGGAAATGTCACTAAATTGCCAGCATATTGTCCAGTTTATTTGTTAACATCTTTGTTTTGACTGGATGCTAAAATACCGATTCAAATGCCAGCCATAAGGCGACTGACTAATGAC